GGGGAGGAGGACGGGGAGGAGGACGGGGAGGAGGCCGCGTTGAATTATTGCATGAAACACATCAAGTTAAATGTTAATGTTGTTTTGCTGTGTAGCTGCTCATACCTGATTTCGTTGTTGATAGCATCCAGCTGCTCCTGCAGCATTAAGGCGAGGGTCTGTGCGTCAGCCTGGCCACCAGGGGACAGCAGGTCCACTGAGCTGAAAATCGTCTCTCTGTCCTCCTCCAGGTCCGAGGCGTCCATGTCACTCTCAAAGGCCTGGGCCACATTTGCCAGCACGTTGGCCTGCTGCATCCGCTCCCACTCCTGCTCGTTCAGAGTCTGCACCTGGATTAACACACACCGGGACAAAACGACGGAACGGACGGTTAAAAGAGAGAGAAGACAAGCAGGAGGCAGATGAGAGACACGGGACAGATAAATGATCAGCTGCATATTTAACAGACACAAGTGACCGTCACTGCTCCAACACACAAACACTTACATGTCGCTGATGTCCAGAGAGGAAGCAGACAGAGAGAAACAAGAGAAGAAGAAACTCATCAGAAAGAACTCAAACAGGTGCAGGAGGGAAAGAGGTGAACCACACAGGCAACACGTGAAGACGACCGCACAAACTAAAGTAAACTAAAAAACCCTCTATCCAATCTTTTTGTCAAAACTGCTGAACCTGGACAACAAAACAATTTCAGTTGCTGTAAAGTGTTTGATTTTCACAAGGAGGTAAATCTACATGCAGATGTTCTCAAATGTTGGCACGTCCGTTTATTAAGCGACGATCTGCTGCTGCGGTCTTTAAAAATTCATCGACAGACTCCAAAGCTCAGGGGTCATTAAGCTCAGATTTCAGACGTGTGTTGTTTATATGCACTTAATAAACAAGCCGACAGCAGGTGAGCAGCTCACCTTGGATGGCTCGTCACGGAGCGCTGACACTCGTCCCTTTTGAGGTCGCCTCAGCACAAGAGCACTGCCGTAATGGTCCGAGTTACTGTCCATCAGCGAGGACGCCGACACTGGATACCTGAAATCTGGAGTGCTGCCCAGCTGAGAGCGTCTGGAATGACAAATAAAAAGGAATGAGAAGGACCTAAAGGGTGGAGGCTGATGAACTGTGGACTAGTTAACCATCTTACCCGTGTAACAAGGAGTTGCTCCTGCTCCTTCCCTGCTCGTTCTCTGCTCTCATGGTCTCAATCTGGATCAGGAGCTGCTCCTACAGGGGCGGACATTTACAGACGGCTTTTAAGAGAAGAATCAAAGTCTATATCCGTTGTGTTAAAACATATCATCTCTGGACGACTTGGATTTGTAGAAAAACATAGAGAAGAAGCCGTTTATACTTGAGCCCTCACCTTCTCGTGGTGAGACTCCTCAATGAGCTTCTTGGTGTGATCCAGTTCTCTAATGAGGGCGTTCTGCAGGGAGACAGTGACAAACTCACACGGTCAAATAAACATTAATGACTAATACAGCCATGGTATCAAGGTCCCACCGATGCACACGCACCTTTTATATTAAATAACTAATGAAAACAAAACGCATCAGAAGCCTGAACACCTGAACATAGTGAGAATCAGTGGGATGAGAACCACCGATGACATCTGGTTCAGAACATAGTGTCTTCAGTCCTGCTCTCTGGAGAAACCAGGGATCGAACCAGGAAACTTCAGATCCTGATCAGACGCCTGAGCCACGTTGCAACACCACCACATTTCTCAGTTAATCACCTTATCCTCCAGAGCAGACATCCTCTCTTTGAGGTGCAGCTGGAGCCTCTCGTTGGACTCGGACAGGAGCTTGTCCACCGTCTCCGACAGACGCTTGTTGTGCTCCTCGTTCATCTTCTCTCGCTGCCGTGCCTACACACAAACAGAGGGGCGTGTTAAAAAATAAATAAAATAAGAGCATGTTCATTCTGTCCAAGTGAAACTAGGAGCAGATTTCTCTTATTCCCTCTTAGGGCCCCGTTTCCACTGGTCCAAAAAATCTAAAGTAATTTCAGAAAGTGATGAACCAGGTGAACGCTCTGATTTCTTCTTCTTCAGTTGGGCAGTCGTTATGATGCGTACTGAGCAGCCAACATGTTTTTTACATTGTGGGACGCAACACCAGTGAGACAGTGAGGTGAGAGAGCTTCTCAGTCTCCAGCACATTCATGAGGTCGAACATGACTCACATGAAAAACTGAGTCAACCACCATTCTTTATCGGGTTCACCTGCATTTTAAAAGCCTGCGTGTATCCACTAAAGTGTAGAAGAAGAATTACGCACCCTGACCAGCTCCTGGTTCTTCTCCTCCAGCTGAGCCTCCAGCTGCCTCAGTCTCTCCTCCACGTTGCCGTGACGTTCCTCTGCCTGCAGATGAAGAACAATGACGGGTGAACCTTCTTCTTTATCTGTTATAACATACAGCACCAAATATTCACTCCTCCCAGAGCTAATGTCTCTAAAGCTTTGCTCTCCCCTGCAGAGTGTGTCATCCATCCTGGAGAGGGACCTCGCTGGGATCTTGTCCTGCTTGTGGTTTAACTGGACAAAGCTGAAGTCCCTCAGAAGGATGGAGAAACCCACATCACCAGAGACACAGTGTATGGCATCTACAGGATATAGACATCGCTAAAAGCCAAAAGCTGCATTAGGAAACCGGCAAAGTAGCACAACCTAAAAACACTGGAAAACCAATAAAGCAGCCAGCACTTCCCACAATGCACATCTACCAGGGAACAAGAAGGTTCAACGAGGTCCTACTTTCAACTACAGACGTGTTTTTATGTGGAGCGCTGCTTTAAAACACAATCCATTGTTGAAAACTATCATCAGTGTCCAGCAGATATCATCAGTCTATTGGCTCTTATTTACAAAAGAGCCAATTGAGTGGTTGACATTTTTAATGGGCAGGGTCCCCAACAAGTATCAGCTGGCACTTCCTGTTTGTGTTAGACACCAATCACAAGGGTTTTCTGTGGAGTAAGGAAGTTCACACATTAAACTACACGTACAAGCGGACAGAGGAAGCCGGGTCAGCGCCTGCTGGGTTTCAGGCTTCGTAACAGTTGGACGACTGGTCTGACTCTGCACTCAACCAGGCACTGGTCGTGTAAAAGGAACCGAAGTTTAAGTATTAGTGACAATATCTCTGGAAACCAGCAGATTTCTTTTTGAGTAGTTCTGGAAATGTAAGAACTGCCACTGGCGTCGATGGGCCTGGTTAAGTTCAGAAACAGATCCTACACCAAACTTGTGTGTTTTCCAGTATCCGAGCGAGCGGATTGAGCTCTGTGAATAAAGCTGGTCTACCTTCTTCTGAGTCTTAGAGCCTTTAGAGCCACACAGAACACACTAGAGGTTTGACAAGCACGTGGTGGTGGGGGCAGCATGAAGACCACACAAAAACAGAGCATGACAGGAAGAGGAGAGAACAGGGGTTTGGTTTAATGTTGGAAACAAACAGACACACTCAAAAATGGAACATGACTAACGATCGCTGCCACGTCAATGAAAGAAAGAAGACGAGACCAGAGAAGACAAACACACAACATGCTGTGTTAGATGAGGAATGATATGCTGATTTATTTATGTACGATGTATTTGAACTGCAAAGAGACGGTATGAAACATATCAGGCTCTTCTTGTCTGTCTGTAATGTTCTTTATAACTAACTGTGTATTAAGAGCAGCAGGAGAGTCAGGGTCGTTACAAATACATGATGGTTTCTACAAGTTAAGACTTTTTAAGATGATAATGAATCGAATTTAAGATCACGTACGGCAGATATGAGGAATATCAGAGTCCCAGTATTTTTATACTGCATCATAAGTAGCTGAGTGGAGAATATTTCTGGAAACACCACGTTCTCTCTCAAACTACAGAGACAGTATCATAGTCTTCACACAGACAAGTGAACTGTGTATACTGCCCACACCAACTAAACAAAAACCCATAACTACACACTAAACAAAACAAAGGTCCTGTGTGTACTTTTACTACAGCGTGTTAATATCTGTATCGTTGAGAACAAACTACAAGAATAAATTGAAGAAAGATGTGAAAACAGATCCCTGTTCCCTGATTGACTCTAAAACTAAGTTTTTTTTTTAGTTTATGATGGGAAGGAATGTTAGCTTATAATTCAGAGGTGCTCTGTGAGCCAGCTACATTACCAATAAGGTGCTAAGTTGACCGTGCGAGTTCGGCAGCAGCGAGTGATGTGCAAGACAAAGGCTCAAACTATAAATGGATAGAAACATTGACCAAATCTCTAAAAATAGGCCCCTGTGGATATTTGGAGTCACATAAACAATGGCTCCCTCAGGGAGCTGTTGCAATGTACAGGAACTAATCCAACATCAATGGTTGGAATATACTTAGAAAACAAATGTTTTCTGTTTATAGTTTTATTTTTTCATAGATGACAGATTTTGCCCCAAACATATGAATGTCTATTTTAACGTTTGGGTTTTCAAAGACATCTGATCGCTATTATTTCACCATACACACAGAGGGGCTGATACCTTGGTGAGGGCGGCGACCCTCTGGGCCAGCTCGGCCTCCACCTCAGGCAGAGTCTCTGCCTTGCGGATGGTCTGCTGCAGCTTCTGCTCCGCCAGCTCCAGCTTCTCCTGGAGTTGCCTGTTTCTGTCCTCAGTCTGCAAAAAAATACACCCAAAAGCCAACATTCATTAGCAGGCATGTGGAAGACTCATCTGTGCTACGTCACAGCCTCAGGGTTTGCTTTCAATTCTGCAAGGTGAAGAGAGTGGCGAGAGAGAGAAAGGGAGAAAAAGGGAGACAAAGAGAGAGAGGGAGCAGGGATAAGTCAGGGGCGGGGTGGGGAGGAAGTGAGGAAGAGAGCATTCATGATGACACAAAGACAGACAAAACCCGGATGAAAAAAGGAGAGAGACGTCTCCATCTCAGTGAGTACATGTAAAGAGACAAGCCAGTGTCTTTGAGCTTCCCATTCAGGGCCTGCTGCGCTGGTCAGTGTGTGAATACAGCAGCGATTCATTAGCAGGAGACTGAGAACTGCAGGCGATTCCTGCTGGAAGACAACTCTGAGACTTGAACACCACGCTCACTCTCGTGGTGATCTCTTAAAGCACCGCGGCCTCGTTCAGACCTGGTCGTAGTATCTGTGAGAGATCCGAGCTCCAACTGGACAGAGACTTTAAAAACGCATCCTGAATGTGAACCCTGTGACCATGTGATCAGATCTCACCACAATAAATAATCAAGCACATCATTTGGGTTTGTTTAGACTAGTTTGACTGTGTTTGTCTGTGTGGACGAGGTAGCGAGTGAGAGGAGTTACCAATGTAAGTACCGGTCATCAGACGGTGACTGTTCATATTGAGGTTTTAAACCAATCAGCATACGGTTACTGAGAAGAGTAGAAAACACTTTGGATTCATAGGGAAAGTGTGAGAGGTCAGAGACGACAGCTGACGGGGCGGTCCTTCACATGTGGCCTTGGACTCTCTTGTGTTCACGACGTATTTGGGTGCGTTTGACACCAGGTCTGAACGGGGTCTTTGGTAAAAGGTCGTGGGGCGTACTTGTCTGAAGAGGGACTCCTTGTTGGCCACTTCATTCTCCAGCTTGTCGTTGAGGTCATGGACGGAGGTTGCCTCCCGCTGAGCTGCCAGGTAGCGCTTCTCCAGGGTGGTGATCCTCTCCTCCATATCTTCTTTCTGAGCTAGTGACTACACACACACAGACAGACAGACAGACAGACAGACAGACAGACAGACAGACTCATTAGTGTTTTCTCACATCTCATGATGAAATGGGGGGAAATGATTGTGTGTCTATCACATAAATATAAGTGGATTTACTAGGTGAGCTCTTATTAAAGACATCTCTGGGTCACTGAGGGTATCGTCCTCCCTACCTCTCTCAGATCTCTCTGTAGCCGTGTGTTCATGTCTTCGGACTTGATTAGGTCCTTTCGGGCCGTGTCCAGGTCCTCCTCCAGCTCATTGATGCGCGACACCATGGCAGCCATGCGTTCCTTCATCTGGCCCAGATCGGTGGTCTGACGTTCCACCACCTCCTGGAGCTCACAGACCTTCCCGAACCCAGTTAACGACTCCTCCTCCTGACTCAGCGAACCGTCCGACGACCGCTGTGTGTAAAATCAACAGCGTCAGGAAGGGCTCAGAATACAAACAGAACTCATTTCAGTTAATCAGACACGCGGCTCAAACCACGAGCTGATGATGCAGGTACGGTCCAGGAGACTCAAACAGTGAGTCCGAATCACTAAAGCTGTTTTCAGACATGTGCTCAAAACATCTGTTGAATTGGGGCCGGGGCATTTTCTGAAGTTGGAGAACGTTCAGGTCAGAAAACAACAGGAATGAAATTCTGCTGCATTTTTGTTTCCAGCTCATCCACACCGGCGTCAGCCTCTAGCACCAAAAGGTCTCAAATCTCATTGTCTTTCCAAGATGACGGTTTTCCCACGTGTATGGCTCCTCCTACATCCTGAGATACGTAATCTTCCAGTTCACAGTGTCACATGTTAGAAACGTCATCTGCACGCACAGTCGCACGGTGTGAATTTTACATAATTATCCTGCTGAGCTCACTCGGAAATTTAAGAGCAAATGATTTAGACATTTGAATTCTGACATTTCAGGAAAATACCAGGACTTCAGTGCAGGTCTGAAAACCATTTCACGATTTCAGATTTTTATTATTTTAAGCTGAGACGCTGCAGAACAAGATGTCAGCAGAAACCTGGACCGTCTCCAGTCGGCTCTCCTCTTCCAGAATTTACATCTTGTCTGTGCATGAATGCAGATTGCATAGCACAGTTAATCACAGCATGCCAGGACAGAAATGTATGAATACATGCAATATTAACTCATACAGCTCAGACCCATTCTTGTTTGCTGAAACTATTTGTTACTGCAGCCTTGCAAGACTGGCCACAGTGCAACATACTACAATCTGATAATAAATGATATCCTGAATCAACGTCATCAGTTGATTTGATTAACTTAACAGAAGGTTCAAACCTGCAGCACATAACAAACGGTGGCGTTCCGTTTTCACACGGTCATTTCAAACATGCTGATAAGTGACCTCACCTTGCCGTTAGTGCTCGGTGTGTTTTCAGAGTTGTGGTTGACCTCGCTGGTTCCATCAGCCAGCCCCCTCTTCTGGCTGCTCTGCTCCCTGAGGTACGCCAGCTAGAGAAAACACCACTCTGTTAAAACCTGGTCGAGTCGTTCATTTGCTGGTGATAAACATCTCAACAATTTTTTTCTGGTTAACCTCTAATTCAACAGCACTTCACTAGCTTGCTGCAAATTTGTAATCATGGATGATGTGCTCTGTGTGTGTTTCTGTCATACGTTTCCTCTGGGAGATTAATATAAGGGACCGGCCACAACTTCTCTGGTTGCAAACTCACATGAACACACAGCACAGACCAACAATCTTGTGCCAAATGGCCAAACCATCGGAAAATAAAACAACAAAAAGCTGCTCGGCCTGAGGAGGGAAAGCAAGTGGTTGATTTTATGTGTGTGTTGACGTGCGTGCGTGTGCCTGTGTGTGGTTCCAGGCCGACTCCCAGGAACAAAAGATGACTGCAGCATGAAGCAGAGAGGAAATCTAGGACACTTCCCCAAGATCCTCTGGGCCTTTTGTCAATCTTAATCCCATTCAATACACAGTGGACTCGAGACGCTCGTGTGGGTACTTTAAAGCTGTTAACGTTTTCTTTGATTCCGTGTTAAGATGAGTGCAAAGAAATGCAGTTCAGCAGAGATCCCTTACAGCGTCGTTACATCGACTGATTGATTCAAAGGTGTCGTGATCTAGTTTAATATAAAAGCATACGAAGAGAATGACTGGTGTGAAGCTGCACCTCAAACCGTCTCATATTTAGCTTGTGATGGCAAAGACGCATCAGAGCCTTTAAACGTTTGACCCAGTGATTTAAAAAACAAAACATCTTTGATTTAAAAGGAGTCAAGAAAAAGAAAACCTTCTGTGAGACCCACTGTCCTGCTGCTGAATAAAACACAAACCCTGCTCAGTGACATTTCTGCAGTTTAACAAATTACGACACACAGCAGAGACATTTGATGGTGGAACCATCTGTTCACTACATTTTTGTGGCGGTTGAATTGTTAAACGATCATTTTGTCACCTGGAAAACATATGCTACTCAGTGAAAAGCTGAGGATGCAACGTTTACTTACTTCTTTGTGCGAGAGGGTGAGCTGCTCCTCCAATGCGCTGCATCTTTCCAGAGCAACACGTAGTCTTTCTCGCACCTAGAGAGCGAGTGAAACAGATAGAAATACACACTTCAACTGTGCAAACCTTTCTCCATACAGAAGTGTGACGTGTGCAGACGGTGGTACCTTCTCATCGAGGGCTTTGTGGTGTTCGAAAAGTGACTTAAGGGCTTTGAGGACCTCCACTTCACTTGAGACCCCTGCAGGAGACTGAGCCTGTCTCTTCACCACTGTCATCCTCAGACTGCGCTCGTGACGAGACACCAAGCACTCCAGGTGCTCCAGCAGCAGCTGGTCACACCAGAGACAACGTTAGCAGTGTTCCAACCCCAATACAGATCATTTCATCATCGACTCACGACTCAAGTCACATCGTCTACAAAACAGATACATGTGCACGAGCACCTTATCTGACCACAACACGTAACCATGTCGTCGTCGTCCCTCATTAGCAAATCACAGAGCTTTGTTGAAGATGTAATAACGGAGCACTAACGAGGAAGCGTCGCTCAGTTCAGCAGATCTCAACTTTTCACGCAGCAGCAGCAAATCAAATAACGTTTATGTGTATACGTCAGTTTTAATTCCCATTTGTAGTTGACACATAGAAACGTAAATCTTGTGACGACGGGCATGTGAGTGTCGACAGGAAGGAAGCATCGGCCACTTGACACAGGACTTGTCATAAATTGCTCGAACAACATCTCATCTCCTCCACACATGCAAAGTTGTATCGTGTAGTCGAGGCTAAAGTTTGTTTATTTGTCTTTCATGAAGGGCGTCACGTGATGAGAGCCTGAAGAGTGAATATGTTGTGACCAAAACATTTCTGTCTCTGTCCTTCCTGTTGTCCCTGCGTAAGCTGCGTGCTGCTGTCTCATCACAGTGAGTCCAAGTACACTGAGTGAATGATCCTAACTTCTACCACACGTGTACGAAATCATTGTTTGTGTTTGAATTTATGTTTTCGTTTGACTTTGACCCGTTTAGTCTTGAATATTAAAAATCAAAGGACGTATGATGAGAGTAAACAGGTCACAGGCCTCGACACCATCAGAGCGAAACGTCATTAATACTCAGTAGTTGAAACATTTCGATGAGTGAGCAGTTTGTACGACTCATCACGTGCGACAATGGTTCGGATTAGAGGATAGACTCAGACTCATTTGTCCGCCTGTGTTACGACAACCATCGATACCCAAAACAAAAACATGCAGGGATTTGACAGGAACTTCGAGCAGAGAGTGCAGCCGACATATCTCATCACTGGTGGATGGTCCCAAGTGTAATAATTGTTCGTTGTAACCTGAGACAGTTTGACAGGAAACAGTCCTGTACTGACCCGTGTGTTGTTTCTCTCTGCCTTCAGCTCTGCGATCTCCTCCTCCTTCTCCAGAAGCTGCTCCCGGCACACGTTCACCTCCTTTGTCAGTGCGGCAAACTCCTAGAATAGAAAAAGACAAATACAGTGACATGTGACCGCTGCGTACTCAGCAGATCTTTCCTTAAAGGACTGTACTTGAGAAAAATGAAAAGCCGGAGTAAGGTGGAGACCAGGAGACTGTGCGCTCCAAGTTTAAAACTTTGATCAAATCAATTCTAGAGCAACTGCAGCAATCTAACACCAGTTTCTGGAGGAGGGTGTGTGGACTGAGACCTCTGATACCTGCAGGTATCACCTGCATGTGTCCGTCTGGTGATCTGGAGTTTGAGAATCAAAATGTGTTTGTGTCTTTCTTCAGTTACTGCACGGTAACAAATAGAGCAGAAACCTGTCGTAAGGTGTTTTCACGTTTGTTCATATCGATATCTGTCTCTGATTAATGAGCCGCAATGTTCGAATCTTTTAATTTTTTCCTCTCTACTTTCACAGAATGGATATTTTGCCTGAGTTTAATGTAAACAGAACTGCGATGACTTCAAATCAGTGTTGTGATCATTTAAAACCTGTACCTGGATTACGATTGATGATTATGACATAAGCCCTTTTTTCTTCATTGATATATTTATATAACAATGAAACTGGAACAGAGGCTCCGATAAAATTAGCTCCTATATCGTTGAACTGTGATCGGCCTCTTTGGACACTGTCGTCACTGAGCCGTCCACGACCCTCATCAAATGACCTGGGTTACAAATAACTGTGTACATTCCTGTCACTCCTTGTCCCTGCAGTCTGCCACACCTACAACACAAAGGTCACGTTTACTTCTGAAACAATGGAGGTGGAGACGACGACCACGTCCTGTCTGTCTGTCCCCGCTGTCCTGATTTAACACAGAACTGACCAGGAAGACCAAGACAGGAGGTTTCAATGGAAGGGAATTAAAGAAGATGTCCGTCAAATCACCATAGAAAAAGACGGCAGTACACACTTCTGTTTTGTTTTTACACTTGTTCCAATATACGTGACACCACTTTCATGTCTGAGGTTCTATTCAGACAAAGGCACTTCCATATACACACACACGCACACACACACTGCTTTTAGGAATTACATGCATGGTTGGACCTACAGAATGTGCCATCCTGATTTTTGCCCTGTGGCAGAGCACCCTGAGTGTAGAAGCCTTCTTGCTACGTTTCTTCTGTGTGTGTGTGTGTGCGTGTGTGTGTGTGTGTGTGTGTGTGTGTGTGTGTGCGTGTGTGCGTGTGTGTGTGTGTGAAAGAGAGAGAGGGTGGGGGGTGACTGCTGGAACTGATCGTTCTTTTCAGTCACCACCACAGCTATTCTCCCTTCACTTCAGCCTCTGAGCTTTTCCAGCGACTGGCACAGATTCTGCTCCTCTGAAGGAGTCAGAGAGAGCCTCCGCTATTGGCTGCAGCCGGGATCTCCGCTCTCTGCCGGCCAATGACGGGCCAGAAGAGGCGGGCCCGCTGGTAATTACAGAGTGGAGTACTTTCTACATTCCTGAGCAGACGCTGAGGTTGACTTGTACAGAAACATTCAGATTTCTCTCAGGCTCTCTGTACCATTTATGACCTTCTCTTCTTTACCCTGATGTTTCGTAACTGGTCACACACAGATAATGGACAAGATTGATCCTTCGTGGTCAAAGTGTGGTTAAATCATTTCAGCCAAGGGAGAATGTAGCCACAGAAAAGCCTGTACAAGGCTCACTGGCTATTAAAGCAGATAAATTAATGATTTACAATCAGTTATAAACATAATCTACCTGCGTTGCAGACCTTTAGTGTTTTAGACGTGACAACAGGCGCCAGAAAATTCTACACCCCATAAATAATCACTACAAATTTTAGTGCTGCATTTAAAATAGCGGAGTGTCGCCATCAACTTTAAAATTGTGTTTATTTGCTCAGAACGTTTAACTACAGCTGAAATTAAACATTTGAATCATCAACTGATCGTTTGAAATGTCCCTAAAAACAGCAAATCATCTTCTTTGTACAGTTTATGACTAAAATTCATAATTAATCATCAAAGTACAGTAGAATCATTTTCAATCAATCAATTATCTGATTAAAGGCCACTTCTTTCTCTCTTTTTTTTTTTTAAATCAATCATCTAATAAAAATCATCATGCACAGAAACCGTGCACATCGAGTCCGATGGGTTTTATTACTATTTGTTCTGTAGGAGATAAAATGTTCGTCTCACGTCATTGGATCAATCCGATCCTGAGAAGCCGTCGGGAACAAGGACAACAAGGGAGTCCGTTTGATTTGCTATCAGCGCTGAGACATTAAAAAGAAGAAAACTCATTTCTGTTAACAACTTTCTGGAACGACTTCAACAGCAAATCAAACCTTCCACAACTTTTTACCCCAAAAATCTACGTTTGTGAGTCTGTGTGCAACTGATTAACGTGATTTAACCATCGTGAGGTCATATTTATTTACGTGACGATTTCAGAACGAAAAATATGGACATGGTGAATTTGATATTGTGAATTTGAATTTAACAGTTTAATCAGTTTAAACAGTTCAATGTAGATCGAATAAAGCTTTTCCATATGTGAACATAATCGTGGGCACCGGATCCTGATCCCATTCCTCCCTGCAGCAGAGAAACTGGTGCCTGGCTCAGTGTAGACGAGTGACACGCTGGTTCGAAGTGGACGGAGCTGAGCTGTAAGCCTTAGAACAGGGGAGGGGATTAGGGGGGGACGTGAATATGTGTGCCAACCTATTAAAGGAACAGTGTACCAAAACACAGAGGGACGCCGAGGCTTTTCAGGGATGCCTGTACTCGACGCCTTCCTCTCTGCACCTCTGTGGCAGTGAAACCACTTCCTGTCTTATAGTACCGCTAATGAATCTGACGGATTGGGAGCGGCTGCGGAAAAACAGGAGCATAATAATGTAATAACACAGAAATTACCTTTGTCCTCCAAAACCAAATGTAGTTTTCAGCATTAAAATATAAACATATGGGGACATGAGCTTGGTTTTTCAAAAGGTGCAATTCGCAAAAACATTTTCACCCCCATTCTATCTCCACAGAAATTCTAATAATTGTCTGTTTCATATCCACTTCTTTGTGACAGAAATTGTTCTGAATGAAATGTCGGACGGTCAGGATTCACCTTGTGGCTGGTCAGCCCGGTTCCAGGATTAAAACTCTATAATGAGGATTTTCTGAAACGTCAGTGGAGAAACTGAATGACAAACGTACTCACCTGCACTCACACTAGAATAAAACACTTAATGAATGAGCCCCAACAAACAGGAGCAGAACTCACTATCTAAAGGACGGAATCTTTCCCCACTCCAGATATCTAAACTAAATATCTTGTGTCTATTATGACCCATTGTTTTTGAAACCAGTTAAATTCAGAGCACACGCACCGTCACAACTCTCATCTCCACAGGATGCTGCCAAACTACACTGAACCCCTCTGTTTCCTCTTCAAACCTTTATAGCACTTATTTATTAACGTTGTGCTTAAGACTGCGCTCGATTTAAGTCCCGGTGCACGTCACGGAGTTGGCAAATGATGAATAGGCCTGAGAATAGGCCCCATTTCTTCCCAGCGCCCTACCTCCGCCAGACTGTGCTGCGTTTGGAACTGAGATCGGAACCAACAGGCCTACCTCCTACATAATGACTTTAGCCGTTCTTAAAAGCTTATAGCGTGTGCTGAAATCTGACACTGTGCAGAGGGCATCTGTTCTCCTGGAGGAGGACTCACCGTCAAAAACTAATTAGACGCCACAATGGCTCCTATTCAGAGCTGCCTAGCCTGCTGCCCAAACACACACACACACACACACACGAGGACAAAGTCAATTTAAAGGAGCTGCTCGTTCACAACACCTCTTTTACAAAAGGTGAAATCATCATTAGAGTTGTAGCAGGTCTTACTTCAGGTGCAGTCCGACACACTTCATGAATATAAGTATTCATATATAAATACTTTCACCAATGTCCTGACTGTATTGTCCTTACCCAATGCACCCCCCCCCCCACTCAATCTAAATCTTCATAAGTGTGTATTCAGTAAACGCCCACACTACCTGGTCATCCGTGGATAGGAAGACATCCCATGATGACAAGCTCTAGTACTCGTGTCCATGTAGAACTAGAGAAATCGATCTAAAGGGTTGAGCATTGTATAGATTTCATTGAATCTGCTTCCTGACACAGAAAAACAAATGTTTGTTTTATGAAATGAATTCATTTTCTCCTCCTAAATGCTGCGTGAAGTTTAGTTTACTGCAAACATTTACCTGTCAGCATATTATTCTCGTTGGTACCCAGTACGTTACCTTGACTTCTGCGTAGTACTGATCTGATACCAGTGAATTTAAAGAAATAAACATACAAGACGTATTTTTACAAACCTTGTAAGAACATGATGATTTCTATCATTGATGTATGTGGCTCGGGTAAAACATTTCAAAAAACAAATACATACGGAGAATGAAGGACAAAGAACGAAGAAGTTGAGAGTCGGAACTTAAATTAATAAATCTAGGAACCCACAACAGTTAATACCAAGTTCTTCAATAAATCAGTGCTTTAAACACAACACAACACAAAGACCCTGTGGAGACTGAGGGAGCGCTTGGTAAAGGTTGTAGGAAGCTGCCGGCAGAACGCTGTCAGGTCTGGGGCCAAACTAAACAGAGGAGCAGCACGGCCGCTGCCKTCTGTTTCCCTTTGTGTTACTATTTCACTTCACATTTGGCAAAAGACAACACTCTCCCTCTGTCACTCTCATGACGCTGAGTGGAACAAGTCATTCTTTGTTTCTCTGGTTTACCACCGTGCTTCCTCAATTCGTGCCATTGTGCCGCAGAGTGGAATATAAAATGTGGTGAGTGGGGTCGACAAGCTCCTTCAAAATAAGGAGCAAAATATAATAATAATAATCTTTTTTTCATACGTCACTTTTCAAATATTCAGTTACAAGGGGCTTCACAGAGGATTTGCAGACAAATCGCAAACACTATCCTCTGTGTACCTCAAGATTGTGGAGG